ATTTTTTATATATGTTGTAGGAGCTCTGGAATTCGGCATACGAGTCTTCGAGTTGATATATATATACAAGGCTATAAGAGTATTTGACTGCTTTATATTCGCCATATTGATTTGTTGGGTAGTGGTTTTCATTTTCAACACCATCCTGCTGGTGGGTGTGATAAGGGCAAGTATAACTTGATATTTTACAACTAAACTGTTACAATCAATATTTTTAGGAGAACTCTACACTGGTTAAAGCCTATTTGTGGGCTGCCCTGGTATTTGGGATTCTTTTGTGTATACTGCAGTTAGTTACTTATGTGAATTTCCCACGAGGCCTGCTTAAGGAAGATGAATATCTTATCGAATTATTTATGACTGCGCTTCTTCTGACTTATGTTGGTGAGCCTGCCTTCAATATAACGCTTAGAAGGTTTAACTAACATTTTTTTTTGTATTTTTCAGTACTATGGACCTGTTTTATAATTGTTCCCTGCCTTTATTTTGCAGACATTTATGATGATTAGTGCATTCTCTCACCATATTTCTCATAAGTCCAAAATATATTGCTTACGACGTTCTGGAAAAGTGGGTAAGATAAATCCGAAGGAATTGCAATTCTTTTTTGGAAGAAGCTCTGCACATCCCACTGTGCCAATCTAAGCAAGTGACATTGGCTGTGGACCTGACAGCACCTAATGATGGATTTCTTTTTTACGACTCGTAATCGCAGTTACCCCTTTTTCTAAGGGGAAAGAGCCGGGCAAAAGATAGCGGCTCGTCTCGAAATATTTAGCTAACGCGAAACAAAAACATTAATGAAAGTTTTTGCAGCTTGTTGTCTTTTTAGTTTATGCTCTTCTACCTGTTCGCATTGGATCGCTGGCATGGTATGTGTTCTGGATAGTTCGCTCAGACACACATGAAAAAATGCGGAAAATGTTTGGCCAGACAATACCTGGCCAAAGAAAACAAAACAAAACAAACGAAGAACAGGTAGACGAATATCGTCAACACTTAGGGGCCTGCCAAACGCACAGGGAGAATCGGAATAAGATACAAAATCTGAGAGAACCTAGAGAGAACGCAGAACCGATCAGATGTTTTTGGAACGAATATCGTAACTGGAGTTTGGTACTTTAAATGAATTACCAAAGGGCATATGACCACCTATTGTTTAGAATATTATTATATTAAATAATAAAGTTATACTTCTTTATCTTTATAATCTTTAATAACCTCTACTTCAATATTATATTTCTTCTAACATTTAGTATATTTGGAGCTCCCATTAATATGCTCAATTTAAAAAGTTATTAACTTTTTAAAAAAGATCTTAAGATTCACATTTTAGTGTCATTAGGGGCAAGTTTGTTTGTTCAAACACAAACAAAACTTGAAGTATCATCAACCTTGATTACCTTGAGCTGTGAGTGACCCTTCTCAAAACCCCATAAATAAGAAGAAAAAGATGAGGTACACAGAAAATTATTGAAGTTAATGATTCTTGTTTTAAAGTAAACTTAACGGAATAATAAAATGTATCTTAATATTCAAAACAAAACTAAGTTTAAAGAGGAAATACAAAAATAATTTAACAAATATTGTATAGTATCTGGTGTATGCCAAATTTCTTACTGTGCAGCTTTATTGCCAAGCTAAGCTCTTAATTATAAGTTGTGGATCTCCCTCTTTCAATCCCTGTATACGCCCCCTCTCCCCTTAGTTAGTTCTTAGAACCATAAGACATCATCAATTCATTAGCATTTTAAATTTAAAACAAAAGTTAAAACAAGCTGCTCTACGTCAGCGTTTCGCTCTTTCTCTCTTCCAATTTTTTGCCGTTCTGTCAACTTGGCGAGCTTTTTGCGAAATTGGTTGCTGTTTTTTGTATTCTCGTTTCGCTTTTTTGTTTCTTACACCTCCACACAGCTGAGTTTGGATCCATAAACGATATAAAAATATTTATATATGTTCCAGACCCGGTGATATATGGGCTACCTTTTGTTGCTGTTGTTGCTGCTGGGCATTATTGACAAATGGAAATTCTGAATCGGTTGCTTCGTTGCCATTTATTTTTTGGCCTGGCTTAAACTAAATTAACTCTCTCCCACTCTCTTTTTCTCTGTTGCTGTTGCCGTTCGTATCTTTTTCTCTACCTCTCTCTTTTTTTACGATTGCAATCATGATCTCACTCTGTTTTAGTTCTCAGTGTTTTTAGCTTTACGATATCGAATTGCTTTATTAGCCAAAAAAAAGAGGCAAGAACGTTGCCGAGTAAAGTCTTTTTAATTCGTAGTTTTCGTTGTCTTCCCTATTTTGTTCGATTCCATTTCTGTGATTTCGTCTTTGTCACTTTAACACTCGTTTCGAACGTGTTTTTCGGCGGTAACACGCAAGCAGCTCTATAAAATGGTAGCTTTTGATACCAATTTATCTTCTGATGAATTTTGTCATGTTTCTAACTTTATTATTATGTCGTTAAGGTGGAGAAAAATTCCGTTAATTACACAAGGTATTTGGGTTTTCTCTTTTTTTAAGGTAGAAATCCTTTCAAACGCTATGAACTTGTTTTCGATCGAATAATGTATTTTACACCAAATTAGTAATGGTTAACTCCCGTTGATTTTTCCACGACAGCTTCACAATTTTCTAGTTATTTGTTGTATACTTTTTTGTTGGCTATCTCTTGGGCCAACAACTTAAAAAAACACGTTGCAATTGGCAACTGGTTTACAGCTATGCAACGGCAAACACACACACTCGCGGCTATATATTTATGTACACACACTTGCCAACGTCTCTAGGTAGACACCAATACAAAAGCAAATAAGTGTTGCAGGTGTGTAAATGCCAATTTTTTTCCACTATACTATATATAAGCACTTTTTTGTTGTTAAAATTTTACATTTATACTTTCGAGTAATTTGCACAATTAATGGTAATTATTTGATTGGGTATTTTCGATAAGCCACAAAAAAAATGCAGGGATTTCGCTGTATACCTTTTAGATTTTCATGCTGCTTGATTATTTTTTTTGTTGTTGCCACTTTTGTGCACCTTTTTTTCACACACAAACTCGAAACAGAAAATGCCATTAATGATACGATGTTGTTGTCTTGAGCACTGGAAATTTTCGTTACGCTTTGGCAGACATTACGAGCCACGCTCCGCATCCGCGACCCCCAATCCACATCCGCAATCCGCCAGCAGCGATATGATGGCTATATCTATCTATATATTGTTGTTGCTCGCGGGTGTTGCTGCGGTAGTTGAAAATGGTTGGAGCGGTTTTGGGACTACTGGGATCGGAACTCGGACTCGTCTATCTTTGGTTACACGTAGTTTGCGACTGAGGTGCGAGCAACTGGCGAAACACACGCCGAACTCAAAACTGAAGCTGGTCCCGTCTTTTTGGCCCGGCCAAGAGCCTCTCTCTCGCCAGTTAACAATGGCAGGTGAGAGCCGCTGCAGCAGAGAGCCAGGTATCAGGTACTGAGCGAATCGTGGTAGCTCAGATTTGTTGACCAAACGATCTACCTGGGTGAACAGCACCACAGAGCCATGGTAAAACAATCCGGCGAATATCGTAAGCGTTATTGCTAAGCTAGTAAAGATATTCAGAAATCTCTTGGAAACCTATATACGACTAAATGGGAACCCAAAACTGCACTTCTATAATCCATAACTCTGGTAATTTCATACCGATTTAGACGTGGGATACCTCTATGAATTTGTGGTTGAATTCTGTAATATTTTGCATTCAAATAGTTCTTTTATAAGAGGGTCGAAATTTTGACCCATTTTCATGTTAGATTTTTTCGTATTTCCAATGGTTTCCAGAATGGGACCCAAAACTGCAGTTCTAACTTTCATAACTTGGGTAATTCGATTCCGATTTAGACGTGGGATACCTCTATGAATTTGTGGTTAAATTCTCTAATATTCTGCATTCAAATAATTCTTTTGTAAGAGGGTCCAAATATTTGACCATTTTCATGTTCGATTTTTTCGTATTTCCAATGGTCTCCAGAATGGGACCCAAAACTCCAGTTCCAAATTTCATAACTTTGGGAATTGGATCCCGATTTAGACGAGGGATACCTATATGAATTTGTGGTTAAATTCTCTAATATTATGCATTTAAATAGTTCTTTTTTAAGAGGGTCCAAATTTTAGCCCATTTTTATGTTAGATTTTTTCGTATTTCCAATGGTCTCCAGAATGGGACCCGAAGCTGCAGTTCTAAATTTTATAACTTGGGTAATTCGATTCCGATTTAAACGTGGGATACCTCTATGTATTTGTGGTTGAATTCTCTAATATTCGGCATTTAAATCCTTTTTTTACAACAGGGTCCAAATTTTAGCCCATTTTCATGTTAGATTTTTTCGAATTTCCAATGGTCTCCAGAATGGGACCCGAAACTGCAGTTCTAAATTTAATAACTTGGGTAATTCGATTCCGATTTAGACGTGGGATACCTCTATGAACTTGTGGTTAAATTCTCTAATACTCTGCATTGAAATACTTTTTTTATAAGAGGGTCCAAATTTTAGCCCATTTTCATGTTAGATTTTTTCGTAAATCCAATGGTCTCCAGAATGGCACCCAAAACTGAAGTTCTAATTTTCATAACTTGGGTATTTGGATCCCGATTTAGACGTGGGATACCTCTATGAATTTGTGGTTAAATTCTCTAATATTATGCATTTAATTAGTTTTTTTTTAAGAGGGTCCAAACTTTAGACCATTTTCATGTTCGATTTTTTCGAATTTCCAATGGTTTCCAAAACGGGACCCAAAACACAACTTGAGTAACCTCTATGAACCTCTATGAATTGTGGTTGAATTCTCTAATATTGTACATTTAAATTTTACTTTTAAAAGGGGGTCAAAATTTTAACCTATTTTCATTTTTTATTTTTCCGTATGTCCAATGGCTTTCAGAATGTTTACTTAATTGGACATTGCGAAAAAATTTGGTCGATCCCAATGTTTAATTAACCATTAAGTGATTGACTTAAGAAAAGAGAAATCGGTAACTATTTATTAGGTATTTAAAATCAGTGTTTGCTCTTCTTTTTCTTGGTCTTGTGTTTGCATTTATCGCTCTTTTTGGACTTTTTCTTGGATTTCAGTTTTGATTTCTTGGTCTTCTTTGAGCTGGAGCTCTTGTGCGACTTCTTGGCTTTGCTAAGTTTGGATTTCTTTGCCTTGCCGTCCGAGGAATCTGAAGATGAAGAGTCATTGCTGGAACTATCATCGCTGTCTTCGCTGCTGGAGATGATCTTCTTTTCGACCCACTTTTCAGCTTTCCGCTTTTTAGGGGCGTGCTGCTGCCAAAGCTGTTGTAGCTTTGCATCAATGTTGACTTCTGCATGGTCCTCTGGGGCTGCAGGTTTCTGGGGAACTGCTCCCGGCAACTTTGGTCCGTAGATATCCTCGGGCGGCACCTCAGCCATTGCCAACTCTTTATCGTTTCTCAGTCGTTCTTCTCTTGATTTGTACGAGATTTTCAACTTATTGCCCTCGATAGGAGTAAACTTGGGTGGAGGTGGCTCCTCGGGTGGCGTCACTTCCTTGGGTTTAAATAGAGCTGCAAATATTCCTCTGGGGGGAGAAGTATTCCTCAGGACATTATGTGCGGCAGCTGAAGTGGCGGACATTGAGGGTAAGCCTAGGGCTTCTTGTAGAGCAGCCAATTTATCCTGAGCTGGATTCTCTGGCTGTTCAGCAACTGTCTCCTCCTCGTCGCTGTCATCGAAGATGCTTTTGAACAGGTCCGTTTTCTCTGAAATGGGTTTGTTGCGCGATTCATCCACCGCCTGTTCCAAGGGAGTCTTGGGCACGAAAGTAAACTTGGATGGCTCTTCTTTTGCAGAGGGTTTATCCTGTTCCTCAACTGCCGGAGGAGGAGCTGGAGATGGAGTTGGTGGTTTCACTTCCTTGGGCTTTTCTATGTGCTTGGGTATAATGGAAGGAGTCTGAAAGTTTGCTTTAGTGTTAACAGACGTCTCCAGATAATCAAATACCGAGATCTTCGGCTTAGTTTTCAGTTCTTTTTCTGGTTCAAGCATAGCGCCGCCAAACGGCTCAGCAATATTGTACCGCTTGCAAAGTAACGAGGTGGGTTTCCACATGGTTTTGGTCCTTTCCATCACGATCTTTCGCTCTTCCGGCGTCTTCTGTTGCTCCTTGACCTTCTCTTCCTGTACATTGCCTTCCGATACAAATCTGTCGTTCATTAGGCCGTCCATAGGACGATAGATCTTTGCCGCCTGGATAAACTCCTTCTTCTCCATCTCTCTATCCCACAGGGAAAGCGTAACAGGTTGCATGCTAGCCAGAAGATCTGTTATTTCTGTGTCATTTGTAAGCTTTGAGGCTACAAATTTTTCATAGCGCAGCTGTTTAGCTTCATCAGCCAGAAAGGGTTTAAAAGCCCCTGAAGATGATGTTGAGGGTGCTAAAGAAATAAAAAGGTGTTACTTTTATCATCCTTAAATGGCGACATTATTGCTTACCCAAATCCTTGGTCTTGAGAGCAGCTTTCTCCAGTATGGCCGCATTCGATTCCTTCACTTCTTTAACCAATTCCGTTTGTTTCTCCTCGCCACTTTCGGTGATCACTCCGCCCTTGGTGAAACCCGCAGTCCTGGCATTGATGCGTTCTAGCAGCGATTTTCCTCGATCCTTGAAAGGATTCCGTTTGGGCTGCTCTTCCTGCGCTATCTTTTCTTTTTTCTGCTCTCCAAGAAGCTCCGCCCGCTGATCAGGATTGAGATCATGCCTTCCCAAACCCGAACGTTTGTACTCCGTGGCTGTTTCCAGTTTTTTCGCTCGTTCCTTGTCCATGGGAGCAAAGCGGCTTTTTCGCTGTAGCCAATTCCTGGGCTGGAAATCCCTTGGTAAATCAATGGAGTAGGGCTTCTGCAGAGCTGCCCCTGATTTGTCCTCACTGAAGCCATCGATGACATGACGCTGCTGGACGTGTTGCTGCTTCTTTTGCTTGGGCTTCTTGTCCGCCAGCGAGAAATCGTACCGGGTCATATCATCGCGGGCGTAGATATCGTCGTCCTCTTCCTCGAAGGCTCCGACACCAAAGGCTTGACCCCGTATGGAGAGCTGCTTTTTGTTGGCCTGTTCTTCCAACTGGCCAAAGAGATTAATGTGCTCCATGGGCTTGGCAGTGCTAGAAGATTTGGAGAGGATGGGATCGCGGCTAAGTCCGGAGTAGCTCATGCCAAAGCGATTCTCCTTGGGCGTGAAGAAGATGGGCTCGTAGTCGTCCGGCGCAAAGGTTATATCCTCGTCGTCTTCATCCTCAGCATTGCTATCTTCTTCAGTTGCCTCTGTCTGTGGAGGTAATCCCTCCGCGCCGTAGTGCTCAAGGAGGTACTGCTCCCTAGTGTTCCTAGCGGTGGCCTGGCGTTTCTCCTTTCGAGTTTGCCGCGGTCCCACTCCTTGGCCGGGTTTCCAGCCCATGCTCTTGAGTATGCGAACAGCCACCTTATCTCGCACCGGACGAAGTAGTTTCTCTAGCACAGGAACTCCTGGTATGGGTCCTGATCCTAATTCCGGCTGCATCAGCTTGCGACGCCGTTGACCTGAACGCTGTTCCTGCTCGTCCTCCTTGGCGAACTCATCGCGGGTGCGAATTCCTTGCGGTGCGATGCCAAACTCACCCAAATCCTCCTGGTCCATGAAGTCCTCCGGTTTCAACTGAACCCTCGGCGTGGCTTTCTCCGCCCGCGAGCTCTTAAAGGTCTGCGGCGTCCAACCCTCCAGGGAGCCCACGGTGTTCCAGAATCCAGCACTGAAGCCACCGGTAAAGGCACCATGGAACCTCCGCTTGCCATTTTCATCCTTAACAATTTGATCCTCAATGGCCACTGGCTTCTTGGCGGGCACAACATCTGTAAAAGGGGTTTGGGGTATTATCACGGTTCCAATTGAGTTTTGAATATACATACCCTTCTCTAGAGCCGGTAATGGAGTGCCGAACCTGTGCAGATGTTCTTCCTCGTCCATTTTAAGGTAAAAATATAGAAGTCATATATTGGCGAAATAATTTGTTTGGTCCGGGTGCCAGTATGTGCACACCACAAAAAATATAATTAAATCAGCTGATGGGGCTGTCCACTTAAAGGTCACAGTTTATTAGAAAGAAGTGACTGATACATCGGTAGGAGTCACGATATATTTTGAGAGAATTATTGCAAAACAAAACACTAGCAAAATATAAAAGGCTTAAAAGTAGTTAGAATACTTTCTTTGAATCAAAAATATTGAACTACTTTTTCTTAATTGTTGCTTATAAAATGTTTCTATAGTTTAGTTTTGATTAATTTGTATCATATTATTTTTTATCACCTTTTTTGTTTAGTCTATGTTTTAAATATTTTATTTCCTGATGCACGATAGCAGTCACGGCTTCGAGTCACGATATTTTTTGCAATTACCACAAGTGGCTGTTGTCATCTCTAGTTTTATCACACGGTCACACTGCAGACATAGCAAATATTTTAGGAAAACTATTTCGTTGCAATTTTTATTAGCCTCCAAGGGGAATAAAGGAATTCAGTGCAAATGGTAAGCGTGGCGGCGGAGACAAAGAAAGGAACACCTGTCCGATTGGAAAAGCAGGTAAATACGGATAACTAGCCCAGTTAGAGGACAGGCAGACTGGAGCTACCTGTGCTGTCTGTATGGGTGACTAATGATGTCAACATTTTCTGTTTTCTCTCCTCAAGCCGACGGCCATTTTTTGCTAGCTAAGACGTGACTGTTGGCCAGAAAGCCGAGCAAGTGCAGCGCAGTAAGTGGGCTTAAAATTCCAGGGCCAGGAACCCGCTAACCACAACTCCATTCCCATCGAACAGCATTCATAAACCCATCAGTCAAACCCACATCCTGGTCACATACACGCACACACCGAGAGCGAGATGTCCGAGAAGAACCTGAAGGTGGGCGCCCGCGTCGAGCTGACCGGCAAGGATCTGCTCGGCACGGTGGCCTACGTGGGCATGACCAGCTTCGCCGTCGGCAAGTGGGTGGGCGTCGTGCTGGACGAGCCCAAGGGCAAGAACAGTGGCTCCATCAAGGGCCAGCAGTACTTCCAGTGCGAGGAGAACTGCGGCATGTTCGTGCGTCCCACGCAGCTGCGCCTGCTGGAGCCGGCTCCTGGCAGCAGGCGCAGCATCGAAGATGTCAGCGGTGCCACGCCCACGGCTGCCCAACCCACAAAGGCGCGGCTGAGCAGTTCTCGCACCTCGCTCTCCTCCAGCCGCCAATCGCTGCTGGGCTCTCGCACCCAGTTGACCAACTCTCTGAGTGAACGCACTGCCTCTAGCAGCAGCATTGGCCCCAGGAAATCTCTGGCCCCCCAGAGCAGCAAGGATAAGGAATCCTCTAGCACTTCGTTGGCAGAGGGAGCACCAGTATCAGCTGTCGGTGGCAACGGAGCCGGTTCGCATGCATCCTCCAAGCGGGCTTCCTTTGTGGAGACTGGTTTCCTGGAGATCCTGAAGCCACAGTTCACGCCTTCGCAGCCTCTGCGTTCGCCCTCTTTCACCATGCCCTCCAACTCCAGTGCCGAGGACAAGACCGCCTTGTTGGAAGCGCAGAAAACAAGCGCCGAACTGCAGGCACAGCTGGCTGATCTCACCGAGAAGCTAGAGACTCTCAAGCAGCGCCGAAACGAGGATAAGGAAAGGCTGCGGGAGTTCGACAAGATGAAGATTCAATTCGAGCAACTGCAAGAGTTCCGCACAAAGATCATGGCCGCCCAGGCTTCGCTGCAGAAGGAGCTGCAACGTGCCAAGCAAGAGGCCAAGGATGCAATAGAAGCCAAAGAGCAGCATGCTCAGGAAATGGCAGATCTCTCGGACAACGTGGAGATGATCACCCTAGACAAGGAGATGGCCGAGGAGAAGGCCGACACGCTTCAGCTGGAGCTGGAGTCATCCAAGGAGCGGATTGAAGAGCTGCAGGTGGACCTAGAGCTTCTGCGTTCCGAGATGCAGAACAAGGCCGAGTCTGCCATCGGTGGCATCTCCGGGGACGGCGATTCCCCTGGCCTCTCCACCTATGAATTCAAACAGCTGGAGCAACAAAACATCCGTCTGAAGGAAACACTGGTGCGACTGAGGGATCTCTCTGCCCACGACAAGCACGACATCCAGAAGCTGAGCAAGGAGCTGGACATGAAGAGATCCGAGGTGGCCGAGTTGGAGCGAACCAAGGAGAAGCTTAGTGCCAAGATCGATGATCTGGAGGCCACAGTGGCCGACTTGCAGGTAAGCTTCCTAGTCTTAATATATGACAAAAGCCCTTCTCACTGCCCGCCACCAATTGGTTTTCCCACAACCCACACTGCAATGAAAATTCACAGCTTTTCCGCTCCTTTCGCTTTTTGCTTTCCTTGCTCCGCTAGTCTACGTAAATGTTCGCTGCTTAAAAAAAGAACATATCGGTTAAAAGCTTAATAAAAATGGTATATCCATTCACAGGTCTTCGCGTTTTGTTTTTTCCTAATTTAAAGCATTTGGTTTAAGACCTAGTACATTTATTGCTTTTATAGCCTGGAATTTCAAAAATCTTTTGACCGGTATCTTCTTTTTACATGTGTAATATATTTTGCCCAAGGTCGATCTAAACATATACTTTTCCATTGCATTTCTTTTTGCCGGCCTGCCTTAAAAACTAATATTTATCGGGGTCCAAGGAGGTAAATTGTGCATATTTCTAACATTTCCCCAGGCAAAATTTAAAACATTTTCCCAAACCGTTTCGAATTAAAATTAATTTGAAAAATGAGCAAAATAAATAAATTATCTTTGTCCCAGGAACAAGTCGATGCTGCACTTGGAGCCGAAGAAATGGTTGAACAACTGGCCGAGAAGAAAATGGAGCTAGAGGATAAGGTTAAGCTGCTCGAGGAGGAAATCGCTCAGTTGGAGGCTCTGGAGGAGGTTCACGAACAGCTGGTGGAGAGCAACCACGAACTGGAGCTGGATCTGCGCGAGGAACTGGACTTGGCCAATGGGGCCAAGAAGGAAGTTCTGCGGGAGCGAGATGCAGCCATTGAGACGATTTATGATCGCGACCAAACCATCACAAAGTTCAGGGAACTGGTGCAGAAGCTGAACGACCAACTAACTGATTTGAGGGATCGCAATTCCAGCAACGAAAAGGAGTCACTACAGGATCCCAGCTTGAAACTGGCCACCGAAACCATCGACTACAAGCAGATGTTCGCCGAATCCAAGGCATACACGCGAGCCATCGACGTTCAGTTGCGCCAGATTGAGCTCAGTCAGGCCAACGAACATGTCCAGATGTTGACCGCCTTCATGCCTGAATCATTTATGAGCCGTGGCGGCGACCACGACTCCATCCTGGTGGTCCTGCTCATTTCACGCATTGTGTTCAAGTGCGGCATTGTCGTTTCGCAAACGAGGGAGCGCTTCCCAGCCGTGGAGGCGATCACCAGGGAAGCGGTGACCCAAGGCCATGCTGTCCAGCAGTATGCCTTTAAGTGCCGCCTGCTGCACTACGTCCACAGCCTGCAGTGTGCCCTTCACCAGATCCTCTACGGCCTCAATAGTTGCCAACCGGATACCCTCCTGAGAGCCGGAAGTTCCCTTCCCGAAATGGTGGCCCAAGAAAAGATAGTGGACGGCATTATTGAACTTCTGAAATCCAATCAGCTGGACGAGAACAGTACGACGGATAATATTGAGAAATGTGTGGCCTTCTTCAATGCCATGAACTCTGTGTTGCTGGCCGGAGAACAGCTTCTCAACGAGATCCAAATGATTCGCGACTGTGTGGCTTCCTTGGGCGCAGCTTGTGAGAGCATTCTTAGCGATACGGCCATCGCCAAGGTGATTATCCAGGAGGCAGGTGCAACCAGCGACTCAGTGCTGCTGATACAATTCCTAAACGAGAACATGGAAAGCGTGCGGCAGCAGGTTAAGTTGATCAAACGCCGCCTGCCGAGCGACCAACATGTTATCAAGAGCGGTCTGTCCCAACACAAAGTGGAGGCGATGCGTGGGCTTGCCCAGAACATCAGTCGCATCATGTCGGCGATGCACCAGGCCACCAAGCAATCCTTGGCCGCCATTGTCACTACCATCGAGAGCGACAATGCGGCAGAGCATACGCTGCCCCAGGAAAAGTACTGGGCCCTGCTGTCTGCAGCGTGCGAACGCATCTACGAGCAGGATGACCGTGGACCAACGCAAAACTTTAAGACATTGCTGGCCCAAGCTAACTCCGACCTGCAGCACATTGCCCAACATCTGCTGGACAAGGAGTACGAGATAATCTCGGCAGCCAACAATGCCGGTGGTCAACAGAAATCGGGTGCCCACAGCACGCCCATCACTCAGCGGGCGCAGTTGATCAAGAAACAGCTGGAGCAGAAAAACGTGCTGGCCGCCACGCTGGAAAATCGCGAAGCGGACGTGAAACAGCTGAAGTTGGCTGCCAAGATGAAGCAGAACGAGTTGAGCGAGATGCAGATACGGAAGGATCTCGCCGAGAAGAAGCTGAGCGTCCTGCAGAACGAGTACGAGCACGCGGTGGACAAGTGGAAACAGCAGTACGAAGAGACGCGCCAGCAGCTGCAGCTTAAGGAGAAGGAGTTCGAGGAGACGATGGACCACTTGCAAAGCGATATCGACGCCTTGGAAAGCGAGAAGAGCGATCTGCGCGACAAGCTGAAGCTGAACTCGACCACGGGCAAGGTTCAGTCTGGTTCGGATTCCCACTCCCCGCACAATATATCGGTCACTGGCTCAACCTCCAGTGCTCCGGGCATCACCAATGTACCCTACACTGCTCCCGCAGGCACTGCTCCAGTTGTGGCGGAGGAGGTGCAGCTGCTGAAGAACGCCTTCAACCAGGAACGCAACGAGCGACTGCGACTGCAGGCTCAAGATATGCGTGCCAAGCTGTCCCAGTTTGAACCCCTATATGTGCCGCAGCCACAAGATCAGCGCATCACCGCCCTGGAGTCGGAGCTGACCAGGATGAAGCACGCCTGGGTATTGTCTCTGCTGCAAGTGCGCTCTCAGGATTCTGTC